GATCATGGTGTACAATTTTTTTGATATGTTTTTGTATCCGATTCGCCAGAATTTTATTGAGGATTTTTGCATCTAGGTTCATTAGAGATATTGGTCTGTAGTTTTCTTTCTTTGAAGTGTCTTTGTCTGGTTTAGGTATCAGGGTGATGTTGGCCTCATAGAATGAATTTGGAAGTTCTCCCTCCTTTTCTATTTCCTGAAGTAGCTTGAAAAGTATTGGTATTAGTTCTTCTTTAAAGGTTTTGTAAAATTCTGCTGTATACCCATCCGGACCTGGGCTTTTCTTAGTTGGTAGTCTTTTTATGGTTTCTTCTATTTCCTCAATTGATATTGGTCTGTTTAGGTTTTCTATATCCTCCTGACTCAATCTGGGCAGATCATATGACTTAAGAAATTTATCTATGCCTTCACTATCTTCTAATTTGTTGGAGTATAAGGATTCAAAATAGTTTTTGATTATCTTCTGTATTTCTGAAGTGTCTGTTGTGATATTGCCTTTTTCATCCCGTATGCTAGTAATTTGAGTTCTCTCTCTTCTTCTCTTCGCTAGCATGGCTAAGGGTCTGTCGATTTTGTTTATTTTTTCAAAGAACCAACTTTTAGTTTTGTCAATATTTTCAATTGTTTCTTTTGTTTCAATTTCATTAATTTCAGCTCTGATTTTAATTATTTCTTGCCTTCTACTTCTTTTGCTGTTGTTTTGCTCTTCTTTTTCAAGGATTTTGAGGTGAAGTATGAGATCATTTATTTGTTGGTTTTTTCTTTTTTTAAGGAATGAACTCCAAGCAATGAATTTTCCTCTTAGAACTGCTTTCAATGTGTCCCATAGATTCCGATATGTTGTGTCTGTGTTTTCATTAATCTCTAAGAATTTTTTAATTTCCTCCTTGATGTCTTCTATAACCCATTGATCATTCAGTAACCTATTGTTCATTCTCCAAGTGATGTATGCTTTTTCCTTCCTTCTTTTATCGTTGATTTTCAGTTTCATTCCATTATGATCAGATAAGATGCATGGTATTATCTCTACTCCTTTATATTGTCTAAGAGTTGCCCTGTGACATAATATATGATCTATTTTAGAGAAGGATCCATGTGCTGCTGAGAAAAAAGTGTAACTGCTTGATGTTGGGTGGTATACTCTATATATGTCAATTAGGTCTAGGTTATTAATAGTGTTATTGAGTTCTATAGTTTCCTTATTCAACTTTTGTTTGGAAGATCTGTCCAGTGGCGAGAGAGGTGTGTTGAAGTCTCCCATGATTATGGTATGGTGGTCTATTAGACTCTTGAACTTGAGAAGAGTTTGTTTGACGAACATAGCTGCACCATTGTTTGGGGCATAAATATTTATGATTGTTATGTCTTGTTGGTGTATGGTTCCCTTAAGCAGTATGTAGTGTCCCTCTTTATCTCTTTTGATTAACTTTGGCTTGAAATCTATTTTATTTGATATGAGTATGGACACTCCTGCTTGTTTCCGAAGTCCATATGAGTGATATGATTTTTCCCAACCTTTCACCTTCAGCCTATGTATGTCTTTTCCTATCAAATGTGTCTCCTGTAGGCAGCATATTGTTGGGTCTTGTTTTGTGATCCATTCTACTAGCCTGTGTCTCTTAATTGGTGAGTGTAAGCCATTAACATTTAGGGTTATTATTGAGATATGGGTTGTTCTTCCAGCCATATTTGTTTATTTCTGTTACTAAACATGGTTTGTTTTCCTCTTTGATTATTTCCCCCCCCCCTTTACTGTCCTACCTCCCCCTGTTGGTTTTCATTGTTATTTTCCATTTCCTCTTCCTGTAATGCTTTGGCGAGGATGTTTTGAAGAGATGGTTTTCTAGCTGCGAATTCTTTAAACTTTTGTTTATCGTGGAAGGTTTTAAATTCATCCTCCATCCTGAAGCTTAATTTCGCTGGATACACAATTCTTGGTTGGAACCCATTTTCTTTCAGTGTTTGAAATATGTTATTCCAGGATCTTCTAGCTTTCAGAGTCTGTGTTGAAAGATCAGCTGTTATCCTGATTGGCTTACCCCTAAATGTAATCTGCTTCCTTTCTCTTGTAGCTTTTAAAATTCTCTCCTTATTCTGTATGTTGGGCATCTTCATTATAATGTGTCTAGGTGTGGATCTCTTATGATTTTGCACATTCGGCGTCCTGTAGGCTTCTAGGATTTGGGATTCTGTCTCATTCTTCAAGTCTGGGAAGTTTTCTTGTATTATTTCATTGAATAGACTGCTCATTCCTTTGGTTTGGAGCTCTGTACCTTCCTGTATCCCAATGACTCTTAAGTTTGGTCTCTTAATGTTATCCCATATTTCTTGGGTGTTCTGCTCATGGTTTCTTAACAGTCTTGCTGAGCTGTCTATGTTCTTTTCCAGTTGAAATACTTTGTCTTCATTGTCTGATGTTCTATCTTCTAAGTGTTCTACTCTGCTGGTAGTATTCTCCATTGAGTTTTTAAGTTGGTTTATTGCTTCCTGCATTTCTAGGATTTCTGTTTGTTTGTTTTTTATAACCTCTATCTCCCTGTATAGTTGATCCTTTGCTTCCTGGATTTGTTTGCGTAATTCGTTGTCGAAGTGATCTTTCATTGTCTGATTTTGCTGTTTAATGTTTTCCTTGATACTTCAGATCATCTGAAGCATGTATATCCTGAATTCTTTATCTGACATTCCATCTGCTGCAGCTGTTACCTCTTCTAAAGTTGCGTTGACCTGCATTGCTTGTGGTCCTTTCTTTCCTTGTCTTTTCATACTGCTTGCGTATCTTTCCTGCAGGTGCGGGCGGCGGCTCTGCTCTCTCCTTATTCCAATTGGGGTGTCGTGGCTACCACGCCGGCAGGTCACTGGGCCTGTTCTGGGAGCTGGCGGCGGCTCTGTTCTGCCCCTACTCCGATTGGGGTGACGAGTGTACCACGCCGGCAGGCCACCGGGCCTGATCCGCCAGTCGGTTGCAGGTTTGCCTACCCTGCAGGCGCGGGAGGCGGCTCTACTCTGCCCCTACTCCAAATGGTGTGACGTGTCTGTCGTACCGGCAGGCCACTGGGCCTGTCCCGCTGGTCAGTCGCAGATCTGCCCGCCTTTCGGGCACGGGTGGAGTCTCTGCTCTGCCCCTACTCCAATTGGGGTGTCGTGACTACCCCGCCTGCAGGACGCTGGGCCTGTTCCTGGCACGGGCGGCGACTCTGCTCTGCCACTACTCCAATTAGGGTGGTGTTTGTACCACGCCGGCAGGCTCCTGGGCCTGATCCGCCGGTCTGTTGTAGGTCTGCCTACCTTGGAGGCGCGGGCGGCGGATCTGCCCTGCCCCTCCTACCACACCTGCGGACCCCTGGGCCTGATCTGCAGGTTGATCACTGGTCTGCTCACCCTGCGGGCACGGGTGGCGGTTCCCCTCCGCCCCCACTCCAATTGGGGTCACGTGACCACCACACCGGCAGGGCCTGATCCGGGCGTGGCAGAAGGATCTGCTCTGCCCCTACTCCAGTTGGGGTGACGTGTGTACCACACTGGCAGGCCACTGGGCCTGACCCACCAGGCTGTCACAGGTCTGTTTACCTTGCCAGCGCGAACGGCGGCTCTGCCCTGCCCCTCCTACCACGCCCATGTACCACTGGGTCGCGGGTCTGCCCACCTCCCGGGTGCGGGTGGCGGCTCCGCTCCGCCCCCTCTCCAATTGGGGTCACGCGGTCACCACGCTGGTGAGCCGCTGGGCCTGCTCCGGGCGCTGGCGTTGGCCCGGCTCCTCCCCTCTGGCTCGACGACAAATTGAGGAGACTCGGGTGACTGTGCCTCACCCCCCCTACCAGGAGACCAACTGCTTATGTCACCACTGGTATTGATGAAGTTCTCTCCTCCGCCGCTTTCTGCTGACATCAGATCTCTGCCATGTTGGTATCCTATGCGAATGGCAGCATTTCGTTCCCCTTGCCAGGCAACCAAAGCAACGGGTGAGTCCTGACCGGCCCTCAGCAGGACCCGGACCGAGAAGCAGTTTCCGCGGCTCCTAGCCCCGGGCCAGGGAAGTTCCGGGAGCCGGAACTCGGCCGCTCCGTGCTCTGTGTAAGCTCCTATAAGTGTAAGCTCCAAGAAGCAGTCCCCGCGGGCTCAGTTCCGGGAGCCGGAATTCGGCTGCTTAGTGCTTGGTGTATGCTCTGATAGGCGCAGGGTCCAAGAAGCAGCTTCCGCAGGCTCCGCAGCCCTGGGCCAGGGCGGTTCCGGGACGGTTCCAGGAGCCGGAACTCGGCCGCCCCGCGCTCGGTGTTCGCTCCGATAAGATCAGGTTCTAAGAAGCACCCAGGCGCTGAACCCTAGCAATCTGTCTGCAAGCCGCAGGCGAATTGCAGCCTGAAATTACCTGATCTATGGCTGAATGAGCTGCGGTCAGTCAAAAACAGGGAAGGTGACGTCAGTTTACCAACATGGTGGCTTCTGGCCTCCTCTGTGGTCTGACCGGTGTGGAGAACCGAGATGGACCGCTTCCTTCCCCTGTCTCAAACCCAGAATTCAGCCCTGAGTACGGTGCTTGCGCAGCTGGCAGAAACTGCAGCGCTGTAACCCTGCGTCTCTATCCCAGCGCGCTCTGCAGACTCTAGCCGCGGGGCGATTTGCTGAATAAGCAGTGTTACCCTCCGTGCGACAAACCTCTCGCGTTTGAGTCCCCCTAGCCGATCCTCGTGCGATGGAAATCCTTCCTCCAGGTTCCGGAGCACCCCACTATTGCTGGAAATTCCTAACAAGATATCCTTTAGCCGTCCTGACTTGTCATACTCCCACACAGTGAAGCAGCACACGGGGGCAATGCACTCCCCTCGCCGCCATCTTCCTTCTCCAAGGAATATTTTAGAGATCTGCTGTATGATATGCCTATTATACACTTAAAATTTTGCATAGAAGTTACTCTTATATTAAGTATTCTTACCACAGTAAAAAAAAAAAATCATCAAAAAAATGTCATGAGCCACCCCAAGAAACAGGGATTCCACACATACCTGTGAGAACTACAGTATGCCCTCCACCACAAGCTACTTGGATCACCTTCTCAGGAATTTTAGCCACCAGCTGGGGTATTCTGTGATTGATTAGCATCTGACTGGGAAGACCTAACTTTCCATTCTCAGGTTCTCCAAATGTGTACAGCTCGCCATCCACTATTGAAGAAGGAAAAGTAGAGTGATCAATGATGGCATAAATATGAATAAAACACTGGTCTTGTTAGCATATGTTCTCAAGCTCCATAAAAAATTTAGACAATGAAAACTTACTAAATTTGACCTTTATTGAGATATTCTTACTATATGGTAAAGAAAGAAACTAGATTTTCTTTTTCCCTTGATTATTTTACTTCAATAATCTTCATGAATTCATGACTATCACTACTAATAAACCACCAGAAAACAGTTTTAGCTCTTTTGCAAAAGATATCATCTTCTGCTCAATTTTTTTCCCAGTGCTTAGGATAGAACCTTGGGCCTCCCAAATGCCAGGTAAGTGCTCTACCACTGAGCCATACCCCCAGCCCTCTGTTTGCTTTTAATAAAGCAGATGATTAGATATTAAGCTCCCATAACTACACAGATTTTTGTTTTTATCATCATGGTATCCCAGAAACCCAGCTGTGTCAAGCACAAGAATTTAATGAATACTTGTTGAATATATGCTTTCTATGAAACTCATTTTAGAAAACTCACTTTATTTGTTAAGTACAAATGTCGAGTGATTCTTAAGATAGCAGACTTTACAGTTAGATGGCACTTTCTCCAGACTCTCTTACCCTAGGAGCTCCTAACACTTATGACTGCCTTGTATGTACTAACACTAATGATATGCTTTTGTATTATTCCACTTATAACACTATATTATGACTGTGAGTTTCTTGAAAGGAATTTTATAAATTTCTGTAATACTGCCACTTACTCATTGAGTCATACTGAGCAATCACTGTGCCTGTAAAATGGGAATAAAAGTACCTATGATATAGGGTTGTTATTTAATAGGAATAAATTAATTAATGCATTCAGGAATACTCTTTAGAACACACAGTCAGTGCCCAGTTGTTATGAGTTGCTACTACATTCTCCTCCTCCTCATGTGGGTTTAGAAAAACTGGGTGCCAACAAAAGTCCTTTAGGCCCATAGAGTCCAAAGATCAAGGTCCAAATTATGGTTCTGCAACTCAGCTGCAGCACCACCTTGAATAAAGCATGTTCTAAACCTGCTTCTGCATATGTAATCAAGAGACATCACTGCCTCTCTCACAGAGTTATCATGAGATTAAGAGAAATGTAATTTGTACTTGAAACACGTTGTAGATGGCAAAACCTTATACATTTTGGAGTGAGTAGACTGTAAACTCCTGAAAGATAAGCACTTGCTTTAATCAACCTGGCATTGTAAGAAACATACTTTAAGATGACTTGTACATGGTAAACTGCTGAATCATTTCTTACAGTGTCAACTTTTTAAACCATTTACACCTACAAAGGGTTAGAAAATACATTTCCTGTAGCTACCACTAAGACCCTCTTTAAAGGTGAAGGTAAGTGCTTTTATCTGTATAAAACATTCAATTTAACTTCAAATTCTTTTTCTTGTTTATATATAAAAATAAAATAACATCATGATAAAGAAATAGTAATTTCATCTTACTCATTTTTACTTTATTTCAGTCTACTAATTTTTATAAAATCTGGATTCCTCAAACTACCTACCTGGCTCTGATATCTGCCTTCTCCAAGATTCTGACCTTAACCACCCTGCCATGTGTCTCTTCTCCAGTCTCTGAAGCCTGTTCCACACATCCCTGCCCTGAGTCCCCACAGCCCCAGCTCTTTACTTATATTCTCTATTGTGTTGCACATAATTCCCTCTTTACTATATGGTCCATTGGTTGCAATGCTCAGACCCCAACTATTAACACATCAGATGAAAGACATAGAAATCAGTGATAACACCTGAAAAATCCACATATTTTATTTCAAATATTTTAAATTAAATATTTTATATAATTTAAAACCATGAACTTGAATTTAGAATGTGAACATAAGCATTCAAATACACAAGTAAATTAAAAATTTGTAGGAAGCCTTAAATGTGACTATCTCGGTGATATGTTCTGCATTTTTATTAAAAATTAAACTCTTCTTTTTGGTCTCCCAGCTTGACATACCAAGACAAAAAGATAACTACAGTCCTTTTCTATACAACATTTTTATCTATCATGAAATATATATTAAGTAAAATCTCTTATACTTGGATTATTTCTAAGATGTGTAAAAAATTGCTTTAAACTATTAAAGTCATAAAATAATGGCTAGTGTGAAAATTACTCACAATTCATATCAGTTGTTATAAATGAATCTCCAGCAAAACGTTTAGTATAACAGTTCATGGTATATACATTTCTGTGAATATACTAAAAAAAATCTTCAACTGTATACTTTAAATGGGTGAATAGTACAGTATTTAAATTATATCTCAATAAAGCTATTTTTAAAAAAAGATATAAAAACAAAAACAAAATAACTCAATATAATGCTTGCTGGCTTAAGATAACAATTCTATGTATTCCTCTAATGGCTAAAGCAGAGTTTATTAATAAACTTGGCTTCCTCCCTTAGTATTTATTAAGTCTGTGCAATAAACCAGAGATACAGTGATGAACAATACCAACAGTCAGGTTTGCCCAATCTTGGTATCACACTGCTACCAATCTGTTGGTAACTCTGGGGGTACTGGGATTGGTCAGTCAGCACTTCTAAATTTCAATCTGTAGTATACAGAACAAAGAGTAAACATTTATTTTTTAAATAATTTAATCTTTATTTTTTATTTATTTTTAATGTGGTGCCAAGGATTGAACCCAGTGCCTCACCCATGTGAGGCAAGCACTCTACTACTGAGCTACAACCCCAGCACCAAGAGTAAGTATTTAAATAAATATTTAGAGAGGTATCTAAGAGGGTTCACAAGACTATTTTTTCTAGTAAATTAGATGGAAATCCACAACCATACTTTTCCTATTATTAATAGTGTAGATGCAGACTATAATAGAACCTAACATTTCAAATATTTTAAGGCAGAAGAGATTGTCAGTAGGCCCAGAGAAATTGGAGATGCTGAGAAAAGTCCCACCCAAGGAAACTATCTCATACTGAGCTTTCTTCCTTTTTGATCTAGTCTTCACCTCACTTCCCATTCATTTACTTGAAATAATAAAATAAATGATCAGTACAAAAGAGTAGAGTAGGTTAAGGTACAGAGGCAAGTGGGTCCAGAGGAAAGTGGCTCATAGGTCTTTTTTTCAATGCCAAAGGGATTTAAAAAGCTTGAGAATCAATATTTAGAAAGGTTTCAATTATATCAATTGGCATAACATTCAATTATATCAATAGACATAACATTCACCTAAAAAGCCAACATGTCAGAGAGAATCTAAAATTAAAAAAATTATTATAGAAATAGAGAAATATTGTGATGTAAAACAGATGGAAATCATTTCATTACATGGATAACCATGGCATTATTTCTATAGAACTGTAGAATGTTAATATAATTTTATTATTAATTGAATATCTCAGAAATGAGAGATAATGTGATGAATCCAAAATGTTCTGCTTACTTGTTACAAAAGCTGAATGGTAATATCCACAAGAGATCCAGGAGATCGGTTTCCCAATAGTAACTTGATGAGGCACACACACATTACTCATATTTTTTAAACCAATTTGCCCTTCAGAATTGTCACCCCACATAAAAAGTATTCCATCCTCTGTAAAGAAAACACAAGGAGAGAAAAATTTTAAAAGGTAGTAGGGCTCTGCAGCTATTGTAATTCCAACAGGCCATTTATTTTTTTAATTTAGAAAAATTATATGTCTTAAAAGAAAAGTACCAAGACAATTATATCAGCTGGCTACTAAAGAGTTCAATTTCTATTATGAAATACATCAATAACAATAAAAAACAGAGAATGACATGATTGTAAATCTCTGATTATGTTCATACTTTTATCTTGATAGCAAACACAGGATGTCATTTCCTATAATCACCTTGTCTCATTATAATGTCTCTAAACAGAAATATTTTCCTTCTTCCAAGCAGTCTACCTGCCACTGAACTAAGAGCCAGCATGAGTCACACAAAACATCTCCAGATCAAAAGAGCAAGTTCCAGGTCAAAAGTGAATGGAAGACCTTGCTCTTGAGAACACTATATAAATGTTTTAAATGAAGAAGAAGAAGAAGAGAAAAGAAATATGTTTCACTAATCTCTTTTCTTTATACCTGAAAATACAAATTCTAGTTTCAGAGAATGAGGAGATATATTACCATATCTAGCATCTCAAAAACATGTTCATTTATGACCTTTCTGATGAGGGTTTTCAAAGTTGGAAAAAGTTAAATTAGAATAAAAAATTTAGAAAAGAATTACTAATGCTTATTTGCATTAATTTTTTATTAAAAAACTTTAAAAATCTTTGAAGTGGTTTAATAATAAAACGATAACTGAAAACTAGAACTGAAAGAAGAATATGAAAAAGCTAACTATCTGGTTGACAAAACTGAAGAGAAAAGCTTCAGATACAACTCTGACTTTCCTAATAGAGCAACACTGGACATTTATAGTCTCCTATTTGGAACAAAACAGATAGCAAACAGCTTCAGTGACACCAAGGTGATCTTGACACCAACTTTTAAAGTTCTTATATGTGCTTTTGACAGGGAAGGCTGAGATATGCAATAAACATTACAAACCATAATATTTTTATAACGTATGCCCAACAGGTTTCTATAGCTTGCTTCTGATTAGTAACTTCAGTTAAAACTGGAAGTATATCAGCACACAATTAAGATAATATTTCAGATTATCTAAATTAGTAGATGGATAGTAGAGCTTAAAATTTATTTACCAATTATCTTTAAATATATATTTATATCCCACTAAAATATATTGAAAAATGAGGCACACAACATTACTCATATTTTTAAAACCAATGTGCCCTTCAGAATTTACACCCTACATTAAAAAGTATTCCATCCTCTATAACAAAAACAAATGTCTTCTGAAAGCACACAGTCAATGCAAGAAAATTAAATGACAATGCTGTCTTGAGTTTACCAACTTGGTATATCTTGGTCTAAACGAAAGTATGTGTCCCAGATTGAAATTAAAATACATCTTACCAGTTAGGGCAGCTGACGTGTTAGATCCAGCAGAAAGCTGTTTAATATTATGCTGGGATGTAAAAAAGCTAATTCGATGAAAGGTGTTTCTCTCTTCAGTGTCACCAAGTCCTAATTGCCCTTCATTATTTCCTCCAGCTGCATATACACTGCCTCCTTCTGTACACGGAAATGAAACATTGTAATACTATAGTCATCTTGCTTACAAGACAGGTTAGTGTATACCAGATATTCCCTCTATTAACAGTGAAGAAAAGTATAAACAAAGGCAGACTGGTGAGGAGGAGCTGAGGCAGAGAGAACAGCCTAAAGATAGAAGCAGCTTAGGGATGGAGGAAAGGAAGGAGACAAGAGGAACTGTTAAGTAGTCAGGAACTGCTAATTGTTAAATTTGTTGAAAATACTTTCCCTGGGTGCAGTGGTGCATGCCTGTAATCCCAGAAGCTCGGGAAGCTGAGGCAGGAGGATCATGAGTTCAAAGCCAGCCTCAGCAAGGGCGAGGCACTAAGCAACTCAGTGAGACCCTGTCTCTAAATAAAATACAAAATAGGGCTGGGAATGTGGCTCAGTGGTTGAGTGCCCTTGAGTTCAATCCCTGGTCCCCCCACACACACCCAAGAAAAAGAAAATACTCTCCACTGATTGTCGTAGCACCTTTGTCAAAAATCAGTGGGGCATATATGTGAGAATCTATTTCTGTATTCTATTCTATGTCATTAATCTTTCTCTATCTTTTTGCTAATGCCATGATGTCTTGAATATTGTAGCTTTATAGGTCTTGAAATCAGGTAGTATCAGTCCTACAATTTGGTCTTTCTCAAAATTGTTTTGGCTGTTTTATGTCCTTTGATTTTCCACATATATTTTAGAATCACTTTGTCAATTTCTACCCCCCCCCACACACACAGCCTGTTTAGATTTTGATCAGAACCATGCTGACTTTGGTTGGCTTCCACTTACCCTCAGTAAGGAAGAGGTAAGAACAAGAACAGAAGCAACTAGATCTTGAGGTGTGCCTATAGGTAAGGAGATGCTGTCCCTTGATATAATTTAACAAAGGCTTTTTCTTTAGTCATTTAACATTTATCTGCATATTTACAAAGGCAAACATGTACTAAACACATTTTTAAAAGCCCTAATCTATCTATTGCCAAGGTACCATTTTCTATTAATTTCATAAACCCCAAAACATTACCAGAGTGAGATCTCAGTTCTCAAAGCCGGGCAAGAAGTCATACCAGTTAAATACTATACCTGTTGAAACTAGGGTGTGGTTCCTTCCACAGGCAGCAAGTTTTACTTTTTCAGGTTTAAGAGCTAAAAATATATGAATATGACAATTAAAATATTTTATGGTTATGAAAATAATAAATAGTCCAGGTCAAATGGTAACTAAATGGTAAAAGAAATTGTTTATTTATTTTGGTGGTGGGGATCAAACCCAGGGCTTTGTGCATGCTAAGCATGTGCACTACCACTGAGCTATATCCCCAGCCCCAGAACTGAGATGAAAAGCAGGTTTACCTGATTCCAAAGTTGATGTTCTTAACTAGTTTTGTAATATAACACAGTGAGTCACTGAAAATAGTGAGTCAGTGGGTCTGAGGTAGGGCTTAAGTATTGGTATATTTTTAAAATCCCACAGGTAATTAAAAGATGCCGCAATCCACTGGATTCTGTTGTGCTGCCTCCTCACCAACCTGATCCATTACCTAACCTGCCATCACCATTATCAAGCTCACTTTTACCATATCCAATGGAAAACCATAAGTCCAATATTCATAGGCATACACCTATGTTAAAGTTGTTCATTAATTTATCTACATATTAAAAAAAACATTTCTAGAATATCTTCTAAGTGCTGGGCATAGCATCTACACAGATGATTAAAAGCCCCTGGTCTCAAAGATCTCCTTTTAGACTATTAGATAAGATATTAAAGAGTAAGCACTATGGGCACTGTGAATACCCACAAGCATTTAGCAGTTTGACCATGTGGAATATTTCAAAAGTCCCACAACAATACCTATAAAGAGCATGGATAAGATAAGCTCGCACCTGAGATTCTGAGCTGCAATTTAAATTTTAGGTAGAAAGATAAAGAATACTGTTCTTGTCATATCCTAAGGAATGTCTATCACCCTTCAAATTTAGTTGATGTTCATGGTTATACCCAGAGGCTTTGCTTGTAACAGTGAGAAAGGTTTTCTGGGACAGTCATGATTTCAGATGTTTAGTCCTGAAATTCTTGCACACTAGTACTAATCAATCCCAGTCTTAATGTTTTGTTCAGTTCATCTACTCATTATGTACTACAGCATAAAGTATGTTTTACAAAACTAACAACTACATATGACCATGATATATGACAGCTCAAAACTCTAGCACATTCTAATGTCTGTTATCTATATATGCAATAGCAGAAATATTTAAGTAGTTTTACAAAGAAGCAAAAAGAGGATGTCCAAATGTAATACTGTAAAATCATGACTTCCTTTGTGATCTCTGGGTTTAAAAATCAGTGTGATTTTTAGACTTTACCACATAAAAGTAGGTTTGAATTTCATATAAAGTTCTGATAATATTCAAGTGAATGTTACAAAATGAAGAGCTAAAGGCTTTATCATTTATGACATTAAAGAACTACACAATCAGTATGGAAGTACTTTATGTAGTTTGTTAAGTATTTAAAGTGATAAAGAAGACAAGACCCCAAACCTTTGACACACGTTGGCTTGCTGATGGTTGACTTTGATCCTAATCCTAACTGACCCCAGTTGTTACTGCCAAACATGTACAATTTATTATTTCCTAGTGGGAAGAAAAGAGAAATAACAAATTAAAGCACTCTTCAAATAAATAATGTGAGATAACATTATCACATGACAATAAAAAAGTTACACCTAAAAAAAGTCACTGATTTTCTATGTTAAAACATATTACCTTCAATGTATAACCAGATTTTATTAGTAGCTTCTAAGATTATACAGCAACAATTTTTATTATATTGAAATAGACTTATTCGAAGAAAGTTGTGTGTATAGGAAATCATATTTTAATTAAATATATTAAAGTAACTTAAAATCAAAAGACTCTTGATGAGATCAGTTTGTGAAGAATTCTCTGGCAAAGTAAAAAACAACACCTTCTATATATCTTCAACATGTTGAAAACACAGCACATCTATACTATTTAGAATTCTCAAAGTATTATTGTTCTGATTAAGGATTGTAATACTAACCTGTAACAATAGCAGTATGTTCATCTCCACATGAGAGATATGTAGGTATGTCATGTTTAAACCAGAATTTACTGGGCATGTTTTCAGCAAATTTAGTTTTTCCAAATGTAAACACAGCACCCGAATCTGCAAATATAAGACAATTTCTATTTAACAACTTTTAATATGCTGCCAGTTATGAAAATACACTTTCAGTAATATATCTACATAAATCCCTGTCTCATGACAGTTCTGCCTTTACTGGAGCACTGTTTGGGGGGATGGTGAGGTTACTATGGATTGAACACAGGGATGCTCTACCACTGAGCCATATCCCAGGCCCTTTTTAATTTGAATCTTGACACAGGGTTGCACTAAATTGGTGAGGCTGCCTACAAACTTGCAATCCTCTTGCCTGAGCATCTAGAGTAGATGGGATTACAGCCATGCACCATCATACCCAGCTTCAAGCACTTCGAGTTTCCCTTCTTCCCCCTTAATTCAGTCTTACTCCTTAAACGTCATTCTAGTTTGACCTACAAAATCTATTAGTGAGAAATATATTATGACAAAGAAGTCAGTCATCTATTTCTAATAGTTCTGCTGTCATCAGGTAGACATCTGATCCTGGGAATGAGCTGGTACAATGTGTGCCCTATTCACTCTGGTTAACACTTCAAAGTCTGGTCCCTGGACCAAGAGCTCTTTTCTACATTCAGAAATAGGGCAGTATTGAGTTTCTTCATTAGGCTCACCAGGACATTCTAGGGGAGGATCTATATAAGTCAGTTTGAATTTTTTTTGGTCCAGTTTTTACAAAAAACCTCCAGTGTTCTCATGCTAAGGGAAAGGAATGTAATCACAAATGGTCAACTCTTTATGTGTCTATTGGTAATCATCATGACTACCCATAAAACCAGGGTCAAGACAGAAACAAACTATTTACACAATACCTCTTTCATTTGTACTATGGGAAGGCAGCTAAACAAAAAGGCTTTAAGTGTAATTAGGTATTCAGATTCTTACTCTGAATAATTAGTTATGTGATCCTGAACAGATTACTTTACCAAGACTTTGATTTCTCTTTGATTATTAGTCTTTATTTGATAGTGTCTAAGCACCAATATTCCATCTTATTTACCCTGAATCTCACACAGGTATAAGCAGGTTAGTGAATGAATGTAAAATGCATTTATAATAGTGTAAATACAGGGCTACACCAATTTCATAGGGTTGTTTTGAGGGTTAAATGAGATAGTATATGTAAAGAATCTAGTATGTTGCCTAGAATGGCCAATATGTTAGCTCACAGCCACCTTCATAAACACTTCCTTTATTCTAAGAGCTGGAAGTGATCATTGGTTTCTCTGAATTATGAGATGTACAGAATTTATATGGCAATTAACTATGCACTATTAAGCAACCTCTCCAATCAAATCGTTACACACATCTTTTGTTGCTCAATATTTTGTTTTCTCACTTATATTCTAAAGTTTCAGAGAGTGTAGATTGTCCTCAGTACCCATACTTCCTTACACAAAGTGGTCCTTTAATAAACTTCAATTATTTTTAAGTCTGTTACCTTCTTACACACATACATTCATAACTGTTTTCAGGTCATCTTAATGGTGAGCAGGTAGTCAAACATAACTTTCAACACTCTTAATGTTAAAGATAAGATTATCTAAGTATTTAACAGAGAAATGTTTCCGTTTCCTGCTGATTTTATTGAGAATTGAGGATTCAGTTTAAGGATCATGTATATAATGAAAAGATTCTCTCAACAGAACTACTCAGGAAGCTTCTCATTAGTTATAGAGATGTTTTTTTTTTCTTTCTTTTACCATAAGCTCTGTAAGGGAAAGAATGGTTTATTTTGTTCCTTCAAACACTATAACAAAATGCCATGATTCTAGGAGATTGGGGGCAGCAATGTAGAAATTTAATATTCTTAAATTAAGTCATTACTTGATTTGAGTAGTATTCACAAATTGTTTTGGCCCAGTACCATTTTGAAGAGAGACTGAAAACCCCTGTAAGTTCCCAATAACCATTTAAATACAAACACATGCCTGTACTAAATAGGCCAGATCCAGCTTCTAAGGAAATCTCAAGGAGGATTATCACATAAACTAATTGGTACCAGAAAGGAAAATGTAGCAAATGTAAGTATTAATAATAAATATCAATGCTCATGAGACTAGCCACTATGGAAAATCTTTTGAGAATCCTTGTGAAGCATCACATTTCAAATTAATAATTGAGAGTTGGGAAGCCAGGATCAAGAACAGTTTCCCCAGAATGAATCACTGAACTGTTTTGTCCTGATTCTCCAGGAAGCCTCCCTCTGCCACCCCACCCCAGGCTAGGGTTTAGTGGCTCTGTTCTGGTCCCCTGGAATCTATTGTCAAACTGCACTGTTACTTTTTTTTTTTTTTTTTAATTTCTTGTCAACTTTCACAACTCCAGGAGGCCAGGAATCTAAGAATGTTTGAGCCTGGAGCATGGCACAAAACGCAACACATATTTCAATGACTATAATTCTGTTCTAGTCAGTGCTTTTTTTAAATTCAAACTATTGGTCGTGATCCACTAGTGGGTCAGGAAAATCAATTTAGTAGACTACGACCAGCATTTTTAACAAATGTATTATAGAAAACTCCGAGAGCATCTCAAATGGTTATAACAAGCAGTGCTTCGTGAAACGTCTATTATGTCGTAGAAGGTACAGGTCACAATGTCAAATGTATTTCAAATCGTAGAGCTGATGGTGGGGGTCTTAAAAAACAAATAAACCCCAAATCACTATCTCAAGCTTTCCTCTTCTCCAATTCGTTTTTTCCACTCCCTTTAATCCGAACCCCCTCATCAGCCCCTTTTTACTGAGCTGAATATGTAACCGGGTCCTGCCGATCTCCAAGGCGCCCAAGTCTGAAGCCCGTCGTACTTCGGCAAGTTTGTAGTGAAGAAAAAGGTGTGCCTGCCTTGGAGAAACTCATCAAAAGTTTATTTAAAACTCAGACAGACAGGAACCCTTTTCCCCACTGTCCCCTGTCCCGTCCGTCCCGTCTGATCTTGTCCCCTCAGTTACTCGCGGAGGCCGGGCAAGAGATCTGGTCTCAGTCTGGTCGCTAAGCCTCAGGCCTGTACCCCGACCGGGCCCGCCCGGAGGCGGAGCCTGGCCGCTCGCCCGCCCGCGGACCCTCCCTCCCGGCCCGCCGCCACCGTCGAGGGCGCGACTCACCGGGCACCAGAATCTCGGGCTCCCCCATGCCGAGGACCGTAAGGGAAGTCTCCGTCAGTTCTGGGAAGAGTGCGGGGGCAGCTCGGGGGAGCTTAAGGCAGTGCCTCAGCCACAGTGCGGGCTTCTGTACCCCCGGGGGCCCCCCATAGCGACCCTCTTGGCATTGGCCGCTGCCGCGCTCCCGGAAGTCAACAAATAGCCGCTATGGGCAACGGAGGCGGAGCGTTAAGGCAGGAGGCGGGACGGGCGCCCAGTGTGGGACGGGGGAGGGGAACGGAGGCAGGGCGGCCAGTGCGGCGCAAGCGCAGATGGCAGCGGGCGGGGCGGTAGAGACCGCGCGCCCTCTGGCGGCTCAAAGGGGAGGAGCGGCCCCACCGAGCTGCGATTCCTGCAGTGAGCGTTTCTGCTGGGAGGAATACCGGCTCCACAGGGACCCTGCCTGGATTAGTGGCAAACGTCACAAATCTCACATATTTGATCACTGGGGCTTTGTGACACATGCGAATGTCGATGCGCAGCTATGACAACCTACTAATAGTAACCATATATAGCATTAAATGAGCTAGGCTTTCTGCTAAACGTTTTATATCCTAAATTACATTTGTACCCCCAGTATGTCAACCAAGGCATAGCATACACTAGATGTTCATTAAATATTTATTAAACAAATGAGGGCTATTACAGACCTGTAAGGCAGTTAATGTCACCCTATTTACAAATGTGGCAGATTATATATGGAGAGAGTAGGAGTCCCACTTAGCTTGTCCAGTTTGTAGTCTGAACAACCTTGCTTCCCAAAGGAGGGGAAAACTGAGGTGTATAGAATTCACTCAGTAATATTGTATTTTTGTAGGACACATCTTGTTTTCCTATGCATTAATATGTAACCATCATAAAATAAAGAGGCAAAAAGTCATCTTCCAGAATGAGTACATTTATATATCTGTGGTAGTTGTAAGCAAGGGCTCTAGAATCAGACCCAAGGATCCTTGAATTATTTGTGTGAACTAGAGCATGTTCCCAACTCTTTCTCAGGGAATTCACATTAAAATGGCAGTTTAAATTATCCATTAATCATTCATTAATCATTTACTTACAAAGCACACTGAGGTGTACTAAGAAACTGTTTAACAAGAAACACTGATTGGTGTGGGATGTTAAAAAAGACTTATCTACAGAAAGGACTTTAAGTCTAAAAACTGAAGAAGGGGAAGCTGAAAGGGAAATGAGACCTCTGGGCAGAGTAAGTTGGCTGTGTGGCTCATAAGGCTGTTGGTTCTTTCCAGGAACTCAAAGAGGCTGGCTCCAGGTGAGGGGCAGGGTTTGGGGCCTGTTAAAGAATCTGAGATTTTATCCTCAGGAAACCACTGAGGGGTTTTAAGCAATGGAGGGACAGGACAGGATCAATTACACGTGTTCCTGAAATCATTCTGCCTGGCTTGGCTACTCCGTGGGGAGTAAATTAGAGCAGCGAGAACAGTTCAAAGACTATCGCAGGTGCTGATAAATGGTCAGGCTGACTTGGATTTCAGTGCATTGGCACTGGAAAGGAACAGGCAGATTTAAAAATATTTTAGGTGGCAAAATCTATAGGAAATGGTGTCTGTGTATCAACTCTTAAAAAGTGCTGGATTACCAAATAACAGATCAACAGCAAAAAAAGGGCCCAAAGGATTTGTTGTTCACTTTTAAAGGATCATAATAGTTACTGTGGGAAAATCAGAATTAAAAAAAAAAAAAGACTTACATTAGTTATGATATGCTTTCATTTGCTTTTTTAAAATTTTCAGAATGCAGTAAAGCACATTTCGATGCTGAGCACTTCTGTAAGTATTGATGTACCCAACACTCAGGTTCCCAACATAAGCAAATTGGAGTGGGGTGGCACAATTTATGGATATGGGGAACTCTGAGGAAGGAGGCTTGGGTTAGATAGATGGGGTACAGTGAGTTCAGCTTTGAGCACACTAAGATATCCAAGTGGAGGTGTTGAGCTGAGCAGGCAATTGGTAGGCAGAAGCCCCATATGGAGGCACATATTTGGTGAATTCCTGGGTTTATGTGGTGATAACAACCTTGGGGACAGGTAAACTAGAATGGGAAGGAAAAAGAGGCTATTATAAGTAGCATAGAATTTAAAATTTAATGGCTCAGCAAAAGATGGTTAAACTGAAAAGGAGATTAAACTGACCATAAAGGAAGAACCTATAGAAAAGTGTATCAACAAGAAGGGCATGGCCAATTGGGTTACATAATATGGACAAATAGGGTAAAAGCCAAATGGCTACTTAATTGAGCAATGTGGTGATCATTAGTGTTGTTGAAAAGAGCTGTTTGGTAGGATGATGTGAATAGTTGCAGAATGGGAGAAACTGAGGGAGACATCAGGGTGATAGCTTTGGATAGGATATAGAGATGGATTCAGTGGGAAGAGGAGATAGTAGTCAGGGAAGTTAGGTGGATGGAGGGCTTTTGTGAAACTTGGAGAAACTTGAGAATACTTAGGACTCAAATGGAATAGATGGAGAGAGTGTGCAGAGTCAGGAGAGTGTGAGAATGATCAATAACATAAAGCAGGAGGAGATAACATCCAGACCCCATGTGGAGGAGCTGCCTTAGTTAGGAGACAACATTTCTAGCATACAGGAAGTGAGGGAGAAAGACCCCATTTCACAATATAATTTTGATGTATATGATACATTTATATATGTAGATAGATGACATCTATATATTGTTAATATATATGATCTAGAGTTATGTCATATACATCATACTTATAGCTATGATATAGTTCTAGATCATATATGATACAATATATGGTGATACTATTGTCCAGCTCAGAAGGCTTTTGGGAGATATTAGATAATGCATGTGAAACAGCTTGGAGCCTGGAATATAATAGCACTCAATCATGTTAGCTATTATTAATGAGGCAGAGTTGACTGTGCCAACTGTGCTCATCAGCAAAATTTAGGCTGTGCCTCAGTACAAACACCCAAATCTCAGTGGCCTAACACAAACAAAGAAGTTTCTTTCTTATACATGCTACACGTTCAATGTGGGTCAATGGGGAGATCTGCTCCTTCTGGTTACACAGGGACCCAGGCTACTGATGGAGGGTGAGTTACCTTGTAGCTACATCATATGCAACTTGTGATCTCTTTGGATGCTGTAGCAGGGCCAGAGAGATGGAGCAGGAAATTAAATGCTTGAGGCCAGAAGTGACATGTTTCTCCTTCTTATAACCCATTGACCAGATCCAGTGTTATGTGCCTGTATGTTCTATCAGGGGGCTGAGGAATGTGGGAGAGCCCTTGAACATTTAGTGAGCAGTAAATACCTCTGCTGCAATCACTGCAGTCAGATGGCTTCAGCTCATGGAGTTTCCTCCCTCATGTTGGAGAAGGCAGGGTGTTCCACAGTTTATGACTCTCAGCAGCAGTCATGTGCTCTTTTGATGTCCTCTGCATACGGGGCCAAACACTCAGATACTCCTTAGGAAATCGTGTTGATACACAAAAGTCATCACACATCTGAAAACATGTACAAGACTTAGCAATTTCCTCTATTAATTCTAGTTGTTATTCATTTCTGGAGCATTTTGTGTCAACTAAAAATAGAGGCATTTATGAACAGGAAGACATTTGATAGATTATGCTTCCTAGCTGAATTCATTTCTTTTTTTGACAGCATTCATCAAAACTTCCAAGGTCTGCGTTCTGAGCTGCATTACAGTGCAGCTGCCATCACAGTTTATTTCTCTCTTTGGAACCAGATAAACCGATGTGTCTCCACTTTGCAACCTCCGTTATGAAATTTCCACAAGCATCCAAAATTTCAAAACATATTCTAATCGGTTTTTTGATTTCTGAATTTTTTCATGCAGCACTGAGGACTCACGAGTCCAAATCTTGGCCAAAGTTTATTTATGAAAAACACAAAGGTAGGTAGGGTGTACTATGCTACTACCCCACCGAAAAAAATTTGCATTTTTGTTTCTTTCATAATTAGTTGGTATTTAAAAATCCTTAATTTGTACACTGATCATCTAGAGATCTTGTTAAGATTTTGATTCTACAGATCTAGAGTAATCTGAATTTTAAAAAAATTCCCAGCTGCTGCTGTTGCTGCTGATTATAGATCACACTTTGGGTAGTGTGTTAATCAGCATTTTATCACTGGGATCAACATATCTGACAATAACTACTTAGAGGAGAAAAGGTTTATTCTGGGCTCATGGTTTCAGAGGTTCAGTTTATAGTCTGCCAACTCCATTGCCCTGAGCCCGAGATGAAGCATAAGATCTTTCTAGAAGAGCATGGCAGAGGAAAGTGGTTCAACTCAGACAGAATAGGGAGCACAAGGAGCCAGGAACGACCCACTTTCTCCAGCTACACCTACCTGTCTACAGTTACCACCCAGTTAGTTCATTCAAATTATTAATCCATAAAATCTGATTTATCTACTGTCTCGGTTATAGCTCTCCTAATCTAATCATTTCACCCCAAACATTTCTGCATTAACACGGGAGCTTCTGGTAGATACCTCATATCCAAACGATAGTAGGTAACAAGAACTTAAACTATGGAAAGGTATCAAAACTAGTCTATAGAAGCCAGAAAGGAAAAGACTGATATATGTGATTGTAGGTTCTCCCTTTATGGTCAGTTTCCTTTTTAATGGACAAAGAGGCTAGTATTAAGAATATGTATAGGACACCAATAAATCAATAAGGAAAAGGCAAAAGATGAGAAAAAAAAGGGCAAAGGAGGGGCTGGGGTTGTGGCTCAGTGGCAGAGTGCTTGCCTTGCACATGTGAGGCACTGGGTTCAATCCTCAGCACCACATAAAAATAAATAAAAATTAACAAAAATAAAGATTAAAAAATGGGCAAAAGATATTGCATTAATAGAGGTAAAAATCCAAATGGCCAATATATTTACCAAAAGCTATTCAACCCTACTGGATATAAGCGAAATGTAAAATAAGTAATAATTAGATAACATGTTATACTTGTAAGATTGGCATTAAATGTAATAATATCAATAACTTTAGTTTTGAGTGTTTATGCAGGATATATTTTCACAGGAAGACTACTGCAATCACATTAGAAATTAATTTGCTAATACTAATCAAATTGAAAAGGTAACCTGTGCCAAAGAGGCATATATGAGGATTCTCATTATAGCAGTAACCTAGGAAAAAAATGGGTATGATTTGCATCAGTTTCCTCCAAAAGAGGGAAATGTGTTAAAGGTTTGTTTGCTAATCTACCACAATAATGGGAGATGGTGGAATCTTTAGTAGGTAGGGCCTACTGAAGGAAGTTAGGTCATTGGGGGCATGTTCTTGTAGTAGATATTGAGACCATGGTCTCTTCTCATTTCCTTTGCTTCCTGTCTGCCATGAGGTGAGAAGTTTCCTCTGTCACACCTCCTTCCACAATGTACTGCCTTACCTCAAGCCCAAAAGCAGTGGGGCCAACCAACTGAATCTATGAAATTTTGAGTCAAAATAAAACTTTCCTCCCTATAAGTTGCTTATTTCAGATATTTTTGTCACAGTAATGGAAAGCTGACTAACATTTAACCTAAATGTCCATCAGTAAAGGAGTGGACACACTGTTTATTTATATAGCAGGATATTATGTAGCAGTTAAAACTAACGAACCAGTTCTACATGTATGAAAGTGAAGAATTCATGAAAACATAATTTTGAGAGAAAAATAAAATCACAAAATGATGTATATTGTATTATGCTATTTTATTAAAAATTAAACTCAGAAATACCTTCCAGTAGCTACTGTGTTCATTCAAAATGAAAACCAAAGTCTGAAAGCCAAAGTCCCAACCATAGCCACATGACTGCCTTATATGGCTCTCTACCTCACTGAGCTTATCTCCCACTCCAAATCTGAACAGCAAGGAATAATTAAATTACTTTACAAACGTTAGTGATTTGTAAGTGATTCTGTTAGTGAATATTGAACCAGGATTTAAACCTAGTTTTATTCCACACTGGACTCCCTCCGTTACACCATGCTCTAATAAGATGGTGATTTTTTGCTCTAATATGAGCATTACTTTTTGCTAGACATAACTCATATATCCAAATGGGACGAGTCCCTTTCTTTGGGAGGTCACCTAGCCTAGCATTGCTGCAATTGCTGAGAAAATTCTTGGACTCTTTTTTTGGAAGAGACACCAAAGCATGGGATATGTTTTGGTTAAAAAGCTATGGAAATGGAAAATCCTTAATCTTCGCATATAAGAAAGATTTTTAGAAAACAATTTTCTTTTGATTAGATTTTAGGAAGCCAAGTTATTTTGAAGAAAATTTGAAGCATAAATTGATGAAAATTTAAAATATTGTCAAGAACAAAAATAAGTTGCAAATACAGGATGACTACCAAGAAGTAGATCTGATGATCTTGGATGGCTCATAAATTAAATCAGGATGCAGTTCCAAAAGAAGAATTTTCCAGTAACTGTGACCATAGTTGTATGATGAGACAATGTCCTGGATAGCTACTTTGAAGGGCCGTGTAGTGTGGTGATTATAGCTTAGATTAATCTCTCTTATTATGCGCTAGCTATTTCCTAAGCGTTCTATGTATTAACTGTTTATATATTACAGGAGAGAAAACCAAGGTATACAGAGATTATGTTACCCATGGTCTCTCAGCTAAAATACAGTAGGGCTGAGGTTTGAACACAGGCAAACTGGTTCTAGAATCTATGCTTTTAAAAACTACACTACTGTCTCTTGAAACAGCACTGAGCAGTACCCTTCAAATTTTTTAGATTATATATCTTCATTTCTCATAAACCCAAAGTCAGAAGACATAAGAGCCCATTATGTAGCCATGCAAATCAGCTTTCCTGGGTTGATATTTGGCACTTAAGAGTATCAGCTGGTGCACAGACTCAGTGTGGGGGGAGACTGAGGAATGAGGCTCAGATGAGAGGGCAGAGATCAAAAGATACTACCCAGCCAAAGCAGTAATGTGTATTTACATATTTATATATATATATATATATATATATATATATATACTACTGTTAATATGTTGTATGCATTGTAAAACATTCATAAAACAATAGAAGATTTAAAATGGTAAGATTAAAAAAATAACTAAAAGTTCCATTATTTGTTTTCCTTCACTGAGATGGATTGTCTTTAACATCCCATGAGGGACACACATCCCAGACTAGGCTTGGGATAGCAAGGCTTTGAATCCAGGCATTACCCTGGTACTCTGGGCAGTTTCTTGCTCTCTGCTTCTGACTCTTCATCTGTTGAATCAGGATACTAACTTCTAATTTGCTGAATTATATAGTTTAAATGAGATGCTGTGAACAAAACTATAGTTCCTGTCTTTTGGCAAGCTCTTTACATATTACTTTGCCTCATAGTTTTGATTCCCCTTATTTGTGTTTCATGGTCTGTGTTTTTAAAGTTTCTTTACTTTGTACACACTCCTGTAATTAAGTTGGAAGCAGCCTTGCAGTTAGGCTTGGTGCATCTAGATGGAGCCAGATTAATAGCTTTTTCATGCTGCATCATTCTAAACATGGCGCAGCTGTTTCTCTTTCACAGCAAAGAAAACTGGGCAGGAGACATCTGGAAGAACCTGTGTGCATTTTACTTTGTGTAAAGCACTATAGGAATTGGGAGGGAGAGAGGGAGGACTTAATGACTATCAGACACTTAAAAATGAATGGCCCAACTGTTCAGCAATTGTGTCTGTGAACAGAGGTTCCCTTTTACATCAGCTGTTTGTCATTGCCCTTTGTGACTGGGAATCAGGCTTGAAAACTCTCTCAGTGTATTCTGAGCCATTTTTATCTCAGCCGTTCTATGGGTCACTTTTTCCTAACAGGGTCGCTTGGATACATTCAGCCCATTTACCATTACCATTCACTGAAAATTTCACCTTTGATCCCAACTCTGAACTTTTGTTCCCTCCTTATCCTCCTCTTAAAATGCTAAGTCTGTTGGGTTTCCATGGCATAAAGTTAACTAGAAAAGGAATGTACTTGAAGGACCATCAACAACTAGGTTTCCAACTAACAGATGACACCCTCTTGTTAGGATAATTTTAGAATTTAAAAGGAACCAGTTTATAGGAGTTTATTGGATTAGACAAAGGGGGATGAAGGGAAGGGAACGGGGATAGAAATAGGAAAGACAGTGGAATGAATCGGACATAACTTTCCTATGTTCACATATAAATGCACAACCAGTGTAACTCCCCATCATATACAACCATAAGAATGGGAAGTTATATTCCATGTATGTGTGATATGTCAAAATACACTCTACTGTCATGTGTAGCTAAAAAGAACAAATTAAAAAAATTTTAAAAAGGAACCAATTTTAAAGGTGTTGGCACAAACCCAAGACATAGTGCTAATATCAATGTTGGACACACCCAAGGCTAACAGCAGTGAAGGTGTTACTATCCTTTGGCCCAAAGACATAAAGGGATAGAGAGTTTATTAGAACTTGGAAAGAGAAGGAGTTGTGTAGAACAGGTCACCTTGAAAGGAAAAGTAAATTTCTATTGAAGAGCAAGCCAACCCATGATATCCAGATAAGGAGAGAACAATGAGAATAAACAATCTTCACTTGACCTTTCCCCATTTTCCTGCTGGGATTCCAATAGTCAAATCCAACCAAAAGCTGGAAGAATAAGAGAGCTCATTGATGTAGCCCACACAAATTAACTTTCAGAGGTAGATATCTAATATGTGGGGCAATCAACTGTGGCAGAACCAGTGCAAAGGCTGGGGATGATAGGGGAAGGAGGCTCAGTAATAGCAAAGACAGAGATCAAGAAAGGCCACTCAGCAGGAGTAATCTAGCTCAGACATCACTTCTGGATGTAGCTGCTGCTTTCACCATATTTCTAATTTCATTGATTGTCCCTTCACCATTTGGTCACATTCTCAAGAACAAAGTCCTGAGTGGGAACATTCAAGTGCCTGGTAGAGGCAATATTGCCTGTCTTTGGCTTTCCTGGTGGGAACTGGGAAACTGCCTTTTGAAACTCACACAATTAGAGATTTCTAGGTATTAAAAAAAAGTTCAGAAACAAGGCTGTGTCCTTTCTAAAAACAGACAAGTCTCTACTAACAAATGACCTCCTTAGTCTTTGTTTTTATTAATCTGCAACAGTAAGACTATCAAACAAGAGTACTGACTTTTTAAAAATTTCTAGTTCCCTCCCTGTCCTCTCTCTCTCTCTCTCATTCCTTTCCCTCCTCCATTTCCTGATCTCAGGAAGGCCTCTTTATCTCTCTAGATCTTTATGCAAGAGAGCAAGATCATGATACCCAAATTTAGTTAGGAGTTCAAATGCTGGGCAGTCAAAAATATATACAGGTCCATCTAGTAGAATTCTCTAGTCAATATTTTCTTGGTAGAATGCTTAAAACCTTTTGGGCTATGGATGTGTAAAAGTCACTGAACATGCATTTCTGCTAATACAGTATTGGAGTTTTTCAGCTGCTATCTTTATAGGAAACATTTATATGATAGTTATGTCCTTAAAATGAAATGCAACATTTATTAACTGAGTAATAAACATGACAGACATAAGAGGCTGCCACCCTATATGGCTTCTGGTGTGTCTTCATAGGGACATCAACATTCCTACCCACTGAGAAGTCTGTCCACATTTTCCGCAAAAACCTTCTTGTCTCCAGTCTTTAATCTTGTTCTTCCCATATGCCTAATTATCTGGCCAAATCATGAACCACTGCTTATGAAGTGGTATGATCCATGCCTCGTATCATCTCTCCTTTCAGGTAAAATGCAGTGAGGCACACTGCTTGGACTTGTGCTCACTGGGAACATTACCTTATTCACTCCTTGGATTCAAGATGGCTGCTCCTCAATCTACAATGATTCATGAATTATTGGACCAATATAAAATTACATTTCTCATCTTTGATCAAACATTGTTATACTCTATTCCCATATACACTTCTCAGAGTTTTACCAATAAAAACTAGAAATTCGGAAGTTCATTGACTTTCTTTGGCTTTTGACTTTGTTAGTGCCACCTCCTTCTCAGGGTCATGCTGACATCCGACAATCTTGGGAATTGATGGGGGAGGGAGGAGAATGAAGTGAACTGGCTTCATCTTGAAAGGTAACTCCCTCAGGTGAAAGAGCATCTTCAATCAAGGGAAGAACAGTCTCATCAGGCAAGGTAGGAAAGGTTTCTTAAGCTGGCAAGGAAAATTCAATGAGAATTAAGGGTTCAACATTCGTAGGGTCCTCTAAATCCTCTCATATATTTCCATGTCAATTTTCCAGCTTTCAATCTAACCCAGATAATACTACAATATGCAACTCAGAAACCTGTCAGGGCTGTGAATACTACTGATATTGTAATTCATCAACACACTGGATCAAGTCAAAGTCTGAATTTATCTTCAACCATTTCAGATCTGCTGAGGCAAATGACTTTTTTTTACACCATTAAGCTATTTATTATAAGAAGCAGTCACCTCATCAGCTGCCATTGAACTCCTTGTGCCCTTCATACTATTCTCCTTTGAATTGGATGTTCATTGGACATTCCAGGCAACCATAGGCAATTGTTTAATAAACTGGTTTGCTGCTGTGTTTCTAAGGGGGAGTTTTACTGTCAGTCAACCAATTCCAGTTTTATCAATTTTCTCTGAAGGTCAGTTGCCTCCAGCTTATTTTATGATACCAATTTCTGAATCAGGGTTCTTGGAGGTAAAAAAGATTTAGTGGGAAACCATCAGGGAACTCATAGAATTAACAGGAAGGCTGGAGAGGAATGCTTGGGTAAAGGTGGGAAACTAGGGAGGGGAGGCAATAGGAGATTAGGTTGGGGTGTAGCCAGTATCTTTGCTGTATTCCACAGCTACTACTGGACCTAGTCACTAAGGCAAGACCTTGCTAGCCACTGGGTTTGGCCAGAAATACTGGTGGATACAAGCATGGTTGTCAGGATCTGTCCATGGGTTGCATGTGGGTGACTGTGCATGGAAGCCTCGTGGATAGAGACATGTGGTGTCTGGGAATGGCCAGTGAACATTTCCTCTGGTCAATTGTCCAGGGACAATGTGAACCTCTATCCCACTCTGCTGTGGCCCACACAGCACCTGAGATGGGTGTGACCTGCCAAGATGTCAATCAACCTGCTGACTACAAGACATCACAAAGCAAAACTCTGCCTTTGAAACCTTATCCCTGCCTCTGATGTGCCCCCTTAAATAAACCACTAGATGTCATTTTGTCTTTGTCTAGTTTCAAAATCCATGTGGACTAGATCTATCAGGGGCTTTGCTTTCTGTAAATATATTTCTGAGTATTTGTGCTTTGTTATTTACTAATTATTTGAGATTGTTTTAGGGTAGATTATCCTGAGCAGGAAGAGTAACCCCTTAATGAGCCGATGGTGCTCTCCCCAACCCCATACATGGTAAATTTCATTTCACTGGATCTTTTTCTTTAGTCATTCAAGATTCAAAGCCCAAGGTAGGAGCATCTACTGGACTGTGTGCCAATAAGTTATATTTGTGAAGGGTAGAGAGAGAGTAAAACTTTATACTAACTGAAGTGGGGGTTTAGATGCTGGGCAGTGAAAAACCCTCTTTTCCCTCAATCAAGAGTAAAAAGAGGTGAGGCATAGTGGCACACGCCTTATCCCTGTACAAGGCTAACATTAGGAGTTTAATGCATGCATAATTTAAGATCTTACCTTTTATCTAATGAGTTGTTTCAAGTGATTGTTTTGACCCAGTTGTTTATTAAATATAATATTTCTACATATGTCACATTCTACATATTTATTGAATTTCCCTATAATATTAAATACTGAAGCATTTTTTACCTTACTTGCCTTATGAAATTTCTTGTTGATTTTAATAATTCCCTTGGTAACCTCCTCCCCTGCCAATTTAAAATGCATATAAAAATCAAGGTGAATCTTAGGGAGAATAGTGATAAAGGAAGTTGATATTCCAGGAGGCCTTAGGGTCTTATCAAGGTTGATGCATCACTTTTACTTTAAATCTCTTATCTATCTAATTATTTCACCACTTTGATTAAATGAAGCTAAAATTGGTATTGATGAAAAGAGAAAGCACAATCAAAGAAGCAGATAAGCAAATAATTGAACACAAATAACTTTTAATTATACTCTCTTAATAAAGTTAAGGAATGGTGTCAGGTGCCAACATCACTTTGTCAAATCAAAGGGCAGAGTCAGGATGAAAAAGAAGAAAATAGCTCAGAATGTTTTGAAAATTGTGGTCCATTTCAAAAGTATAAAACACTTCTATAATAATGTGGCTCCAAAACAACCTTAAATCCTGGACCAAGAATATGTTCATGCCCTCCAATGAAAACTCAATTGTTTACATCCCTCCTCATGTCTTAACCCTTTGTAGAATCCTACTAAAGTCCCCAGGATTCTTTAAACTCAAAGAAATAGGTGGGCTTCCAGACATGACAGTTATACCTGGCAAGTTTAAAATGCAGTTCAATTTGGAATTAAAGTAGGGAAACTAGCAAATAGCTTTCACTTTAAGTTGATCAAATAGTTTCTTCTGAACTCAATAATGCATTTACCCTTTGCCCCCTTCCTAACCCAAGGTTATCTGGATTATTTATTCTCTCTGTCTAGTGTCCTGCTGCTATGATGCAGAGAGTATGAGAACAAATACATGGTAGTGATACATAGATGGTTCCTAACTTACAATGGTTTGGCTTTTTTGTTGTTGTTTGTTTTCTTTATAATGGTACAAAAATGATATGCATTTAACAGAAACTGTACTTGCAGTTTTGAATTTTGATCTTTTCCTTGGCTAGCTCTATGCAATCTGATACTCTCATGATTCTGACCAGCAGCAACAAGCTCCAGTTCCCAGTAAGCTACATAATCACAAGGGGGAAACAACTAACAATTGTGGTGTGCTGTGTTGCTAAGCTAGGATAGTCAGTAGGTTAAGTGTATCAAGTACATGTTTGACTTAAAATTATTTTTTCTACTACTGAGGATTGAACCCAGGGGCACTCAACCACTGAGTTCTAGCCCAATCCCTTTTTATTTTTTATTTTGAGACAGGGCCTCACTAAGTTGCTGAGTGAGGCCTTGAACTTGTGCTTCAGCCTCCAGAGTCACAGGAATTACTGGCATGCACCACCATGCCAGGCTTCTAAAGGTGATTTTGATGTGTTATTTTCACATGGACTTTGTAAAATGTATTGTTGATGTCTCCAGAGTCATTTTGTGTTCAATTGATTGGGGCAAACCTCCTTTAGAAAATGACTGCCTTGTTTTCATGGCCCTCATTGCTTTGAATAAGCAGACTGTAATTGTAAATTTTAAGTGGCGAAAAGAGTAGTGGCCATGATAGTGAAGAGATTTTATGATCCATTTTTATTATACTTCTTTACACTGGAAGGCAATAATCACTCTTGGCATTTATAGAGTGCTTTGTATTTTTGAAACACTTAACAATCATTAATTACTTTATCTCATTTTCATCTCAAATGGGATAGGTTGCTTAGCGTGACAGGTCACAGAAGGACAATAAAAGATTAGAAACTTACAATGTTAGGCAGTTGATGTATTGACGGAGAACAAAGTTCTTTGTTTTCACATCATTTATGGGAAAAAGGAAAAGAGAAAAAGAAGCCACACCATAGGTACTCACTGCAAACCATTGCACTTGTTTCTTATTTTTTTATTTAGAGAACAACAGGGTGATTTGAAATTTCATACAACCCCAAAGAGTAGATCAAAGAAAGTAAAGCCCCCAAATACTTTTATTTCTAGGAAAGTGACTATTATAAAACAATCACAGGACCAGAGGTGGGGGCTCTCACCACATGTACTGATTGTAGTAATTTACAAAAGCTAATATTTATTGAACACTGATGGGTTAGGCACAAACATGGCTGTATTTAGTCTCCTTTGCCAAGACTTCCGGGGGCTATGTTATATTTTTAGCGTGTACCAAGGCTGGGATTCAGTTATTTATGGTTAGTTAACATTGTGGTTCAGTGTTTAGATTTAAGGTCATAAACATTTAGTTGTAAGCATGCGCCCCCTTATGTAACCTGTTGGCAGTGTGCCTTCTTTGTTTGGCCTGCAAATAAAAGGGATAGGCTAATTGGGACAAAATGGGGACTACAATGAAACTGGCTGGTGGTTGAAGCTGAAGCTGGGGGCTTGCTAATGGCGATGGCAGCCTCCAAATAAAGGATGACCAATATCCCCACCGTATCTTTCAATTGCCAGAACCTCCAGCCCTGTTTCCTGGGTCTCATGACAAACACTGAGCCACGTACCCTACAATCCACTATCACATTCCATCCTTACAACACAGCTACAAGTAGGAACTAATAGTGCCACCAATCAACAAAGGAGGGATCTGAGGCTTAGAGAAACTAATTTGCTTAACATAAATTGCTCCTTCTCAAATCCTTGGATTAACTCGCTTACACTGCTTCCCAAATGATTTGCTTATTCCTTAATGGCAATACACTGGGTAACAATCAAGGGTGACCTGGGAATGAACTACTTGGTTTTCCAAAAGAAATGATCCTGAACTCCAGTTGAAAAATTCTGGAGGATGAAATCAGTGATGGTGAGTGCCCAGTCTCATAACCCAGCCTCCAAATATTCAACTAAGTTGCATTAAAAGGGCTTGTTTCTCTTTTATATTAGGGACAAAAGATTCCCATAGTGTATCTTCTAGATACTGGATAGGTTGCATCTTTACAGGCCACTGAGTTGTTTCCAATGGATCAGCCTTAAGAAAAGAAGGCTGTGTTTAACCAACAGCTGAAGGTGAGGGCTCAGCACTTGCTTAGCACATGTAGCCTAAAAAAACAATCAAGAGCAAGTTAAGATGACTTCCCAAGTAGGGTCTGGAGAGAGGCATCAACCACAAAGATGATTGCATGTTTCATCAAGAAGTAAAAATGGGCATAGAAGGCATTCAATAAGCATGGCTTTTGAGTACATCTAAGGATATGT